ATATATATATATATTCAAACTTCATCCAACTCAAATTTACTGATGAAACATTTTACTTGAAATTATGTCATTAGCTGTGAGGTACAAACTTTGTGCATAATTTAGTAAAATCTCCTTTTATAACAGAACACAAAAGAAGAAATTAAAATGAGTTAAGCACTCCCACAAGGAGGGATATTTATTTTACTTTTTTTTGTAAAGGCAGAAAATAGAAAATGAAACTAAAGTGTCATCTCCCACCACCTAATGAGAGGCAGGCATTAATATTTTTGTCTGTCTGTTAGTAAAATATCTCATGAACCATTGGATGGATAGATCTAAATTAAACTCTCAGAAAGAAATTATTGGAGGTAGAACTACAACTGAAGTCAACCCAATTCAAGATTCTCACCCCAGACATTTGACCCCAACACATATTTCAACTGATCATGTAAAGTATTTTCTTAAAACTTTGCCATTAACTATTGAAGTCTACTTTGTCTGTTAGCAAAATATTCCAGAAACTCAAGATGTTTTTAATAAAATTTTCTGAACGTAATCACTGGATACAGATCTACAGCTTATTATATTTTTGGAGTGAGCATAGTATAGTTTTAGCATATTGGCCTGTCAGTAAAATTAAGAATTGACTAAAGAAACCAATGGTTCCCAACCTGTGGGGGCGCCAGAGAGCACAGGGGTGGGGGACCTTATCTGCTCAGAGGTTGTGAAAATATCAATTTTTATTTATGAAAATCCTGAAAACAAGTCCATTTGAATAACAAAACTCTGTATAACTGAGTTCTTTTTTTAATTTTCAACATAAACGTTCGTAGCTTTTCACTTTATTCTTTTATTATTTTGATATAGAGATAATGGTTGAACAAATTTGTGGGAGAGGTGGGGAGTAGTGTGGAATTGGGGGGTGGGGGTCTCAGCATGGCTTGGAAGTAAGAGAGAGGTCTTTCTATTGAACACAAAAATAACTATAGCTCAAATTTAAATAATTAAAATTTCTGATAGGATTTTGTAGTAAAACTTGATCTTTGAGTCATTCTCAAAGTGTACTCTGAGAATGAAATATTCTGTAGTGTTATTTTATGGTTTGAGTTCCTTGTTTAAATCTGAAGTACAATAAAAAGGTTTCCCAATCAAAAAGAAAAAAAAAAGAATTAATTCAAGAGTATTTTTAACTTGTCACATTTCCTAAAATAAACACTGTAGGAACATAAAATGTACAAGTGTGATCATCAGATGCTGCTACTTCTGGTTCAGGGGTGTTGTTTCATTACCCATTAATGTGCCTGTGACATACAGACCCTTCAAATACAAAACGTCAAAGAAAACATCTTTATATTTAAGAAACGTGACATCACACATGAATTTACCCATTTTCTTATCTAACCTTTTGATTTTGGCTCAGCCCAAGTGAAACAGGAAGTGACATCAAAGGGGAACTCTTTAATTAATGGAACTCTCTGGTCTTGGTTTTACCAATACAATATAGTTTGAACTCTGACTCTTCGTCTCTCTGATAGTGACTCTAAATGCTCTAAAGAAACATCAGACTCTTCTCTACTGTCTGTTTCTGGCTGTTGTATCAATGCTGTTTATATTCAGACATTCCCCTTTAACATCACTTCCTGTTACTTCACATGTAAATATCTCAACAAGTCTTCATCTCAGTGGCGTGACCCCCCCCCCCCATATGTTCTCAATGTTTTCTTTCCAAAAATGAATTCAAATTTAACATAGAAATGTGATGTCACAGACACTTCAAAAGTTTTCAAACGGTGACCGAGGCTTAATTTCTACTCTGTGTTCCTATCTGCCTGTCTTTGGCTGAAAACTGCTCTGCTGATTAACAACTGTGGAAAATTATAAAATAAAAATAAAATAAATCACTAACTTTAAAATGCAGCTCTTTGTTCAAAACTCAACTGCAAGTTCCAAAAAAAAACAAAGCTTCATTTTGCTGCCCATTTATTACATTAAAAAGTCTAAAAAAGTAAAGTGCTTCAGCCTTTAACAACAAATGTGTTTTTTTTCCTTCATCAGAAATAACAGATTTTTTTTTCAAACATCCAACTGTAAAATGAGTCAATATTATTGTGTTCATCTGTATGAGGTGTCATTAAAATTTTTGTAGGAAAGCTTTGGGTTATTAAAACCACTGCTAAAAATCCTCTGACTGAGCAGATAGGTGGTAATTTAGTGCTTGGATTTAAGGCTTATACAGGAGAGTCTCTGTCATRTAACACCCGTCAAGTTCTTTTCTTTTCTCTGCTGCCACAGGCAGGATGAGGTGAGAAATGCGGCTCCACAGTCCACCGTACTTATCGAGATCCATCCTGTCAAAAGACGCAGGGGGGCCACGAGAGAGAAACTTCTTCTGTAGGTGGTCGTCCACCATCTCCTCCACAGCACTCAGGCGAGTCTCTGCGGGAATCTCCTCCTCCTCACCCAGRAGCACTGTGAAGATGAGGAAAGTCTTTTTGTACGCAGCGTTCTCGTGGTCYCAGTAGCGATAAAAGATGAGTGTGGACGCCGGAGGCAGCTCTTCGAAGCGATGAATGACAGCCACAGGTTTGTCACCCTCGAACGCTCCTTGCAGCTTGCTGTCGATGTCCAGCTTGACTTGGTCGCTGTCCTGCCAGGCTTTGCTGGCTCCGTCGATGTGCAGGACGGAGGCGTTGCGGGCCGAGGAAAAGGCGTGGGCCAGGCTCTGAGCGAGGCAGTAAAGCGTCCTCTCAGCTCTAAGGCCTGCAGTCAGGATCAGACTCACTGGCTCTGTGGGCTGGGGAGTCTGGAGGTGCTTCTTTAGGTGGATTCTGCTCCTGTTCCAGAGCTCAGAACGCTGGTTAGGATACTGAGTCTTTATTTCTTCCATCTGCTTTAGGAAAATTTCTATTTGGCACAAATCCTTTTTTGGAGGCAGAGCTTGTGGCCGGAGGACATAGTACATTAAGATAGCGATGAAAACCATCACTATACTCATCCAGAGACCTGTTAAAATAAAAAGAAGTAGTATGTTGTATATAAGAATATACTTTATTTAAGAAATAGCTTTTTTATTTTATGTATCATGCAATAACACAATAATACATTACTAATTTACAGGCTAAGCCACAATGAGTATTTTAACTTGGATAATTTAGCTAATAATCAACACAACAATAAATAAATTAATTAAAAAGTCATATAATTACCTTTATGAATTCTTTTAGCTTCTGGAATTGTTGAGTCAGAAGCCTCAGCAGTGCTGGGGCCAAGAGTTTCAACATAATTTTCTCTTACGTCTGGCACCTTTTGTATCCGTGGTAAAACTCTGTTCTTCTGTTTGTTTCTTTCCTCTTCTGAAGCTGAGCTTTTAAACCCAACTGAGAAAAAAAAACAGAACAAATAAATCAGACATTTTGAGTCATGTGTAAAGATACACCCTTTAAAGCCTTTTTTTAATGTTTGTGCAGAATCCCAAGATTTTCAAAGTAGGGGTCTCTGCAGCACATAGGGTGAGTRTCTTGGCTGTGTGGGTGGAGTTAGGCCTAACTGTAATTGTTTGGATATGGGTTGGATTGACTTGTGAGGAAAGTTAAAAGATGAAGGAATGCTAGAATTGTGGACATGTAAATATAATTTGATTTAAAATTATAGGTACAAAAACCACGCTCCTGTCTGAATTTTGGATTAATATTCATATTTTAAAAAATAGTTTTATCTAAGCTGACGTGCGACCTGTCCAGGGTGTACCCCGCCCCTCGCACTGTGACAGCTGGTTAAGGGCACCAGTGACCCTGAAAGGAATAAAAGGGAACAGATAATGGATGGATGGATGGATGGAGCTTTAACAAATTTCATGCTGATAGCACCTTCTTGTCTGGAGTTAAGACTTCATATTAAAAAATTATAGGTGCTTTTTGGCTGTTTTCGACCAAGCCAAATTGTTAAGGGCTCGACTCAAGGGAGGTGACGTCGCTCGCTCTCCATTCATTTCCTATGGAGCCTGTGCGTTGAGGRGACAATCGCTCACCCTCCTCCAGCTAAGCGACCGGTGAAAATAGTGCATGTGAAATTTCGCACTCGTAGACGTGCACACGTGAGCTTGTGACGTGACAAGTTGAAAAACGTTCAAATTTTGTCGCTGTCACTTAGCGTACAACCAATCAGTGAGGGTTTCATTGACTGACCAATGAGCGGAGAGTATGCTACACACTGTTAGCTAACACTTTCATCAAGTGATTATTAAAAAAGGCAGCTTTGTGGGAATTTCTTGGCACCAGGGTGAAGTTATCCAGTAAGTTTTTCCTCATAAAATTGTATCTTGGTGTTTGTTTCTCAATATCATTAGCATCGCAAGATTTGTTTAGTTTACARGTTGGTAATGCACACCCCCTTTTTTTTGTGAACCACCAATAACCTATACTTAGTGGCTGTGTCTCAATTCACTGGCTATATACTCATGAGTGTGTAGCTCACCTGGACCATGTGGGCCACATCTTTCCCAGACTGGGTAGGCTGCATGAAACTGCTGTGAAATGTGACGGTCTAGCCTTCACTTGGCGTCGGCTTGACGTATGTTTGCGTGACCACGCGCTACCCCGTTACTAAGTGACTTAATGCGTTGGGACACGTATTCACACCTTTTCACCGGAAGAATAATTTCACAGTAAAACCGTTGCACGTAAAAAAAAAAAACACACAAAAAAAGTTAATAATTTGGCTTTAGCTCCAGTATCAAGACTTTTAGTTACATTTTATTTAAGATCTTATTGCAGCATGAATTTCATCAGCTAAGTTGCTAAACTTACATTTAAAAATAAATTCTTTGGTCCAGGATGAATTTCCAAACTATGCCGACTTGATAAAAATAAAACCTCCATCTTAATTTCTCTGCTTTGTCTGCTGTCGGTGCATTGAATCCTGGGATGTCCTCGGCCGGGAAGGATACCCAGATGTGTCCTTGATTTCTGAGATTTTGTGGGCCGCATGAGGAGGAGACTTCAAAGTGGGACAGCACTCGGCGCGGGGCAGCGACGTATGTGGCTGACAAATACGTCACTCGTGAGGATGCAGCCCCTGAATTGAGGCACAGCCAGTGACTGCAGAGACCCTCTTCTCAGATTTTCTGGATGCAATTGTTCACCTGTTTAAGAGACTTCTGCGATATAAAACTCACCTTCTTCTGCTTCACTGTTTGTATCTTCGCCTGCTGGTGATTTTTCTCTAATCTCAGCCTTAGGCCCATCTACTTCCTCCTCTCCTCTGGCTGGTGTTTGTAAGGTTTCTGCTTCTGGATCTGCCGTATTAATGATGGTGTCTTCTCCTGTTTCAACAAAAACAATTTAACTTCCAACGCAGCCCAAGGATTTGTGGTTGTTTTTTAATTAACTGCTCTATATTATTAAACAAAATTTTAAAATGTGATTATGAAAACAAAGTGGGGTAAATCAAAGTTTTTATAAATGGTAATGATTGCAGGTCAAAATATAGATTTTTTTCCACTTAAAAATAATTTGAAAACTAGGAGAACAGTGAAAAGTAGGAACCTGTTGAACAGGAATGCTCCTCAGGGATGGTCTCAGCTGTGTCCTCATCTTTTGTTGAGTCTCCTTTGCAATCGCCGTGACGTTCACCTTTAGCTAGACGGTCGCTGACAGTGTTCTGCAAATGATCACCTTCAGCTAAACCAAACAAACAAAATAAAAGTTCAAAATTATGTTTTGCCCGGACGAACATTTAACTTCTCATTTCAAAGGAATTAGTTAATTTATCTCCCTCACCATTAACCACATGTCCTGTGGCTTCTCCGCAGCTGTTGGAAGGTGCCTCATTTGCAGGTGCGGCTGCTAAAGTTGCATCTGGACAGATAACCAAATTGTTATCCAAACATATTTACAATAAAAACAAATCATTACATTTTCTGGAATAACTTACCATCAGAACATTGCTGCTTTACATCCGGACAGGGGTCCATTTGTTCATTAACCGACGGCGTTTCTTCGTTCTTGTCATCTATTCAAAAACACATTCAGCTGTAAATATAAATACACTAACCTYACTGGAGTCTAAGATTATTTTAAACCTACTTGTTCCAGAAATAACTGGATCCTGACAGGTGATATTCTTGCCTTCCTGCTCCTCTGCCATGTCTTTGTGTGGTTTCACTTCCTCCGAGTGACTCTCTGTAGTTTTCAGAACACAGAAATCAGACATATATGAAGCTAATCAGCTAACTTGGTAGCAAGCTTATCGATTTGATTACACGTGTCTGTTGTCACCGGGTGTTCAAAGTCCAGTGATGTTGGAAAGCTACAGCTCCTGACATGTCATACAGGTCTTTATCTAAACTCTAAAACATTAAGACTACTTATATTTACAAATCCACTGCATAACAAAACATTTATTATGCGACCTTAAATTAAATAATAAAAATTTCTTTTCTACTTGTTATGTGAAATCTGAGCGCCTTTTGTGTGCTAGCTGTGTTAGCATTGCAGGAAACTGTTCGGGTTAAGTCAGTAAGGTGAGAAACGAGACGTTAACGAAACATATAAATCCAATACATGCTAACTAAATTATGCCTAAACCTGTAACCAATTTGTATATAATCTAGCGTGTTAACTGCAAACCAAAAAATATAGCAAATCGCAGCAGCAGCTAAGATGCTAGCGACAATTAGCAAAGCTAAAGAGTTCGTCATTTAAAGATGTGTGCTTCAGTTTAGTTAAAAACAAAAACTTAATGTGACTAAAAAAGAAAAATAAATAAAACTATAGTTACCAGCTCATAGAACAGACATCCGTGATCACATCTCCGTTAACTATAAAGTTTCTACTATCTCTTCTGTGTTGCGTGTCAAGTATTTTAGCGGAACCTTCAGTAGTGTCTCTGTTTCCCGGACGGAACCTTTCAAACGGAACGGACCTCTGTCCTGACTCCTGTCGGAACTGTTTCCCCGCACGCACGTTAGCGGGAAGTTGTCGCCCACGCATTGTAGGGTAATTAATGTTTTTGTGTAACTTTGATCGTTTTAAATAAATCTGTGGATTTCAGGATGTCTAAAAACAAGACTTCTGTCCCCGTGAGACGGTCAACTCGGCAGTCCGGAAAAGGTGAGCAAAAAGACAAAATGGTAGTTAAATCAGTTAGCTTTGTTACCTGTTAGCTTGCTGAAAGTTAAGAAAAGCTGTAACGTATAAGCAACGCTAATTCAAATGACCATGTTCAAATATTTATCTTTCCAACTAATATGACTTGTGTTATGTTYATAAATGTTGCACGTTTTTGAATAGAGAACAAAGAGTACGGCGAGCAGTTAATTCGATTTTATTTTTCGCGCATTATCAACTACGTAACATTTTAAAAACACAGCCAGCTAAAGAATAATTGTAGCCAATAAAGGATACCTGCAGCAGGTTTTAAAGTTTGTACATAAGCCGACGACAGATAAGGCCGTTTGACAGGGGAAGTCAGTCTCCGTCTGAGTTGATTTTAAAGTCAGAAATTGTTCTCTTTTAAGGGAGAGTCCACCTATTTTCACTACCATGAGCAACGTTAATTTCCTCTAGTTTAAAACTACAATACATAGATACTTCAAACTTCAACTTGATTATTCTACARTGCAGAATATTTAAAACCAAMTGTGAGATTTYTGAAACATATGTTTGKTTCGTGAAACTTCAGATTTCATCACTTTCTATGCATTTTATGAACAAATTAAGTAAGTCCAGATGGATAGGGATAGGTAAGAGAATTGGAGTGACAGAAGCGATAGGAGCATACATAATAATAATGTATACAGAAAATGAAAATTGAAATTATTCATAGGCTTTTATTTTGAAATATACAGTTCCATAAACAGGATGTGTCATCACAAGTTGGGGAAATTGACAGTCATGGAGTTTTGTTAACTCTTTTTCCCCCCTGAGTCTTTTGGTGGAGATTTACTCCTCCTTTTTTGTAATCTGCAAAAATGGCCCTAATACACCATTGTAAGCCAATTACCTTTAGAGCAAGTTACACACTGGGTTTGAACATATTCAAGGAAAGTTGAGATACATTTTCCCCAAAAGTTTGGGCTCACAAACTAAGTGGTGGGGCCCCGAAAGGATCTCCATAAGCTCTTAGCATGCTTTTACTATTAAAGACCATTTTGTAGTRGTGCATGCTCAAACCGGCCAAGCTCTCACATCTTTTGGTACAAAAGCTGAGATTGCTATGGAAACGCCACTGAAARTGAGCGGTCGGGCATTTAAACCGTTCTTCTGCCTTCAACCCCCAGAATGCCACGCAGTTCTGGAGCAACGTTCCATCGGATGTATTTTCTATTGATACTGATCACATATCTATTGTGATAAATGTTGTTGTTTTATCATTCAACCCTAATTTCAATTTACAGTTTTAAGCCTGTAATTGATCGTAATCAGCATGTGTGACTTTATTAGTGGTTTTGCTACATGAGGTACGGAAACGTCCATCACAATTCAACAATTCAAAACTGTTTTCAGAGGATTCAAAAATCCATTCAGGGTGACCGAACTTAGTGTTATGCAGCAGTTAGTGCCCTGCCCACTGTGTCGAAACTAGTATCAAAAAGGGCGATTTATAAACTTATTAAATATATTGTAGGAGGTGGCAAGACCTCCAGATTTTCCAGAGTTCAACTTGCGTAAGCATGTTTGGGATTCAGAGATAACTTGCTGCAACATCTTGAGTCTTTTCTTTTTTATACAGCACTGAGTGTTGAYCCAACGCCCAGGGGTCCTCTGAAGCGGACCAAAAGGCCGTCAGTAGACCAGCCTTCTGCTGCAGTTATACATGAGGAGAATGGCTGGGATGATGAAGGTAGGATGCTTTAGTTAACCATTATTTCTCCAGATACAACAACCAAGATAATCCTGCTGTGTGGCTGTAACTTTATTCTTTTTTTTCTTTCTTTGTACTGAACAGAGTCCCCGAGCAAAAAGCARCGGTTTGACTCTGGAGACCCAGTCGGTGACGGCGTCAGTGAAAATGAGATGGATGTTGAGGCGGACACAGACAAAGAAAAGGAGAAAAACACGGAACAGAAAATGGAAACTGAAGAGGATTTGTCAATTGAAAGCAGTCTACCAAAAATATMCAAAGGTTAGACATGAAAGAATATTTAGTTGTTGATTAAACCAAAGTCGTATCAGTTGATTTCCAAATCTTTAAGATTGACTTTTTGGACACTTGCTCAAAATTGGGCTTATGAAGTATCGACATATTTTTGTTGATTTTTCTACCACAATAACAACAACTAAAGTTGCATACAAAGTAATAAGAAAGTGCAAAGAATAATGTATCAAATAAAGCAGGTGTAGCCATCTGCACTTCTTTCAGTTTTTGTTACAAAAAAAACTTTTACTTTTTCATTCTTCACCCTCATCACATCTTTAGTTTTATCTGGTAATGCATGCAGATAATTTAAATGGTAGTATTGGTTTTGCGTATTCTGACCWTAAATTCCTTAGAGTTTCATCTTWTTTACTTTTATTCAGACAGGTCATTGAGACAGGCAGTCTCYTTTACAAAGAACCCTGAACCACACACATAACATTAGTTACACAAAAATGGATTGGGTTGACATTTGAGAGAAAACCAAGTTAATCAAACTTAATCTAAAAACAAGGTCACCTAATGTATTGCTTGTAGTATCAGTTCTAACTGATATAAACTTTTGTCTTTGAACAAAATAGACACCTTAAGAGATGTGAACTTGTCCCCTCGTGTCGTCCTCGGTCAGCGCTGCCGAGCAGGTCTATCTCCGAACAAGGATTTAAAAGAGATGAAAACGAAGCAAGGTAGATTAAATTAAGTGTTACATTTAGAGAACATTATTTTGTTGACCTGAAACTGGCCTGTTTATTTTCGTTTAAAGCAGCAATAAAACAACCTGCAACCATCACCAAGTCCACCTCACAAATCAAACCACTGAAGAAAACAGAGGAAATCAGGGATGTGCCGATCAGCAGCATGGACGACTACAGACGGAAGATGGAGGTCTTAGCCAGGAGCACAGGTACAGACTGAAACACTGATGATGATGATGATGATGATGATGATGATGACGATTGTTCTTATTGTTTTTTTTCCTTCTTCTTCTTATTATTCATCTACTGTTATTCTTATCAATATTATTAATTATTCTACATTTTATTCTTATTCTACAC